ATTTAAAAAACTGATGGAAGAAGAAAATTATCTTCCACAGCAAGTGTTCAATGTTGACGAAACTGGGCTGTTCTGGAAAAAGATGCCCAAAAGAACATTCATCACCAAGGATGAAGCCTCTTTACCTGGGCATAAACCCATGAAAGACCGTCTCACTCTATTGCTTGGTGCCAATGCTTCAGGGGATTTCCGACTGAAGCCTATGCTTGTCTACCACTCTGAAAACCCCAGGGTGTTCAAGCAACAGAAAGTGGTAAGAACAATGCTTGGAGTTTATTGGAAGTCCAACCGTAAGGCATGGGTGACAAGACAGTTCTTTAATGAATGGGCTGTTGATGTGTTTTGCCCCTCTGTCAAGAGCTACCTAACCACCAATAAACTTCCTTTAAAGGCTCTTCTCCTCATGGATAATGCTCCTGGTCATGACCCTGACCTTGCCAGAAATTTGGAGTATAAATTTGACTTTGTGAAAGTGTTGTTTTTGCCTCCAAACACTACATCACTCATACAGCCAATGGACCAGAATGTGATCAGCAACTTCAAGAAGTTGTACATGAAGAAAATGTTTAGGAGGTGTCATCAGGCAACTTCCATTGATCCTGAACTAACACTGAAACAGTTCTGGAAGACACAATTCAACGTCCTGGAGGCTGTAAAATTGATTGTGTCATCATGGCAAGAAGTCTCCAATAGAACCCTCAATTCTTCATGGAAAGCACTGTGGCCATCAGTAGTCCATGATTTTGAGGGATTTGAGGATGACACAGAGTTGGACCAGGAGATTGTGTCCATTGGTCAGTCATTGGGTCTTGAAGTGGAGGAGAAGGATGTGGAAGAGCTTGTGATGTCTCATGAGGAGGAACTTACTCCTAATGACTTGAAGGAACTGGATGAGATGTTACGGGTAGAGGCTGACAGTGGTGAGGAGGAAATTGAAAGTGATGACCATATGTCAGCTAAACAGTTGAAAGATGTGATTTACCACTGGGAGAAGTTCAGGGAACTGGCTTCAAAGCACCCAGAAGTGGAAAAAACTGAACTAACTTTGTGTCATGTTGAGGACTCAGTGGTCTCCTTCTTTAAACATAAGTTAATGGTGAGGAGGACAGATGCCCCACAGACCACAATTGACACTTTCTTCAGTAAAAGGCAGAGGGAACAAGATGCTAGCCCTCAGCCTTCCACTTCAAGAAGGAGAGAGGATGTTCATGGTGGAGAATCTGTCAGTCCAGAGGTTCCTGACATTTTCATGGAAGGTGACTCACCTTCCAAGAAGCAGTAAAATGCTTCTCCTCCACCTCCACTTCCTTCTCTTCTCCCTTCTCCTCCTGCACCTCCCACTTCAAATGCACATCATCACCATCATCCAGGAGCCTTCTACATACACACCTCAAAGTAAGTAAATTTTTCCGCCATTTTTGTTGAAGTTAGGAAATTTTCGGTGAGCTGGAACCAATTACCCAAAAACCCATTGAAACAATGGTTTCGGTTAACGAACGTTTCGGTTAACGAACGACCTTCTGGAACGGATTGAGTTCGTTAACCGAGGGGCCACTGTATTATCATTTACGTCATCCAGTGATTTTTATGATTTAAGTTTTGGAATCAGTAGTTTAAACAATTCTAAGACACTTTTCTTCTATGGCTCGTGATTACTTTCAGAGAAAATCACAATAAATTACTGAAAATTCTTTTTATTTCTTCTAACTTCCTTGTTTGTCTTACCACAGTCCCAGAGAGCTCCTGTGTGTTCGCTTGTTGGTTACTATGCTGCATTATGTATGCGCTAGAGTCTGAGGCATGCACAGTTGTTCTTTGGACATTGATTGGTGGGTATGATTTTGGATCAACCAATTACAGTTCGGTATAGGCCCCCCCCCCCCCCCCCCCCCTCCTCAGTCAGAGAAACAGCGGCCAGGCAGTGAGTTCTGTGGATGACGAGGAGTCTTCTGAGTCTAATTATGGCAAAGTTGAGTTAGGTTGGGTTGGGTTGGGTTAGGTTAGGTCAGGTTTTGGATTATTCTGACCTTCATTTCTATTGCAAATTACTACTGTTTATTATTTTCCCCCCACCCAAAACCTCATTTTTTTCTCTTAAAGTAATCATGAGTGGAAAAAATGCCATTGAAGAAAAATGTTTTAGAATTGTCTAAAATAGATTCCAAAACTTAAAATCCTAAAAATCGCTGGATGACCTAAACGATAATTTTATCAAACATTACTGTGGTAAAATACCAGTTTCGCTTTGTATGAACAAGAGCACAGGTGGCTGTACACCGCTGAGTACAATGCTACAGACAAACATAACTCACGGCTGGAAAGCTTCAACACCCTGTGTGGCTGGACGAATATACCAGTGATAATGGCTTGGTATGGCAGACTGCCTAGTAATGGCAGTTAATATTTGTCCATTGGCTGTCCTCAGGTTTTGGTAATAAAATATGTGTTTTTGTGTATTTTTTTGGTGTTTTACTCAAATCAGGCCTTCATTTTTTGTGCAAATTAGCATGTTTTGCAAAAAATGAACATTTTCATTTTAACAGAAACCACTTATGTGCAAAAAAATGGAGGTCATATTTGAGTAAAACACACCAACAAACTTATTCTCATACCAAAGGAACCAACCTACCTAACCTGACCTAAAAGGAGGAGGAGGAAAGGAGGAGATAAGTGACTAAGTGAGCAGTGTAGCTTAAGGTAAACATGGCGGGAACCTGCAGACAACCAATGGACCAATGTTAACCAACCCAAACAAAGACTTCATTTCATTTCTTGTGCAAATCAATATTAACGGAGTATCTCACAAATTTCTAGGCATAAATTTTGGTGAATTCATAGTTTTACACCGGTCTTTCTTTCACTGTTATTAATATGTATTTCATAATGCTTAAACAATTCTAAGACATTTTTATTCTGTTACATTTCCACCGGAAATTAAGGATAAGCGAGATATTAATTTTTCAATATTATTAGATTAGGTCTGTCACAAGTGCCGCCATTTGTTGTTTACATCTGGCGGAGAAGGCCTGACCCCCCCCTTACCCAGTGCTACTTACCTCTGTCTTCGCTTCTTAAGCGTCTACAGCGCATTTGCAGGGGGTGGTGTAGGAGTTTCTTATTGGCTATAGTGACAAGAGACTTATTATTGGGTAAAAGTTTTTTGTCTTGGCCAATGAACAATGCATGGGTGCGACGGGAGCGGAGATTTTAATTTTCGTTATCAGATATGGCTGAACAGGTGGAAGAGATGTGCCGAAACTGTGATAGAGATTATTTTACACCAGTTGCCGAGTTTCATCAGAAAAATGAGGCAATTTTTTTTATACAATACACGGCGTGTTTGTCCAAAGTGTAATAATCAGTGTACACTGCGTGAAGAACAACACATTTGGCGGTGTCACCGGTTTTTTTCAGTCGAACAGTGAGAAAGGAAGAGGTGCAACCCTGGTTAGGTTAGGGGGGGGGGGTGTAATCTAAAAAATAGTGATTTACGGAGAAAATTAATATCAAATTCGTTCGAAACTCACCAAATACCACAGGAAAACCCTATTTTTAATATCAAAATAAAGACCGGTGCATTACTATAAATAACCTAAATTTCTGTACCTGCCATGTTGCCTTCAAGCATCGTGTCATGTATCTTGGCTGGCCAATCATTTTGAAGCGGCCTTCCACAGCGCAATTTCAATTTTTGAAGGCTTGTAATGGGGTTTGATAAGCGTTGTCTCCCTTATCTAGCTATTATTCAGCAAGTTTATGAGAACGACAGTGAAACAATCCAAATATTACAAGATCACGGTGTCCTACCAACATCAAGACTGTGTCCTATGTGTGGAAATTGTTTAGTTATAAATGAAAAACAAAATTTCCTTAATAAAATGCTAATTTGCACAGGAAATGAAAGTCAGGTTTGAGTAAAACACCATAAAACACACACACACAAAAAAAAATGTTTGTATCAAAACTTGGACAACCAATGGACAAATATTTACCGGAATGGCTAATTGGTCCACTGCAGTTTGTTAAGGTTATTAAGTGTGTAGAGCCAGGAGAGGAAGATGATAATATGAAATAAAGGTACAGTATTATTTTACTCTCAGACACAGCACACCCAAAAGTTATAAACTACTGAAACATTTAGATCTCTCTATTCTGAACATTTTGAACCCCATATATACCAGGTGGAAATGGATGATGGCAACATTATTGAATTTAATTGATTTTAAGTAGTTTTCAGTCGTCATCTCTGTGAGATGTTATCTGTGCATCACACATGCGCAATGTTGACTGACATCATCCAGTTGTGACCCATGTATCGATACCATCATACAAATTTTATTCGATCAATCACATTTAATTTTTTTCAAAGGAAGCAGCCTGGGTACGGATTTTAATTTCATCGACCGGTCTCACAATGGCCGTGGCGGAGGTTGGTTGTCGTTTGTGCTCCGACGATTGTTTTAAGTTTATTGCCGAGTTTCACGAGAAAGACGATCATTCTATCCAATTCTTACGTATCCCAGGTCATTCCACTTCTAACTAAGGTATTGTACTTCCAGACATAGCTCGCCCCAAAGTTTTTAACTACTGAAACATTTAGGTTAATATAAGCTAGGCCTACCGGGGGTCCAGGGACAGAGCCCCCGGCTAAGAGTTAGGTTAGTTAGGTTAGGTTAGGTTTTGTTAGGTCAGATGACTCGTTTTCTCCCCCACCCAATAACCCAGGTTTCCCAGGCTATCCCCCATTATTTTTAGGAGGGGGGGGGGGGGAACTAGCAATTTCCATCAAAAATGAAGGTCAGAGTCGTTTAAATCACACCAAAATACACTAGAAAAACATATTAATCAACCCCAAGGGACTCGTGTCCGAATGTAAAAATTTACCGAAATAAATAAGAGCAGGAAGCAACCATAATGGAATATTTGGGGCAGTTAAAACATATTTGACACTATTTTATATTCAAATATGGTGTTTGATCAAATAAAACTTGGAGACAAACCTGATAAGTGTCTGGTGAAGTTAAACACTTGTGTGATGAAGGTGACGGCCATCCTCCAGCCACGGCTCACAGACCACTGGTGTAAACAACAGTTAACACAACACCCAGAGGTGTGGTGAAGAACCTGTTAGTGCAAGCTTATATGTATATAAATATATATATATATATATATATATATATATATATATATATATATATATATATATATATATATATATATATATATATATATATATGTATATATTTCATGTAGATCCACAATGAAAACGTGGATAAGATAAATCTTGATAAAATCACACGGGAAAAGGGAAACAACGGAGCACCTTAGCTTTCGTCTTTATTCAAGACATCTTCAGAGGCAACGTCAGTTGCCTTGTAGTGGATTTCTCCCCTACAAACACTGTTTGTCGCTGAGTAGCCGACCCCGCGAATTCCCTTGTGTATGCCTCGTGGTCTAGGTCAACCAGCGCCGCCTTTCATGACGGAGGTCAACTACTAAGCCACGCCTACCTCCGCTATATAAGACCTGACCTCATGGTGACCGCGCTCTTGTTCTAGCTACAGCCGCAGCAAGCTACACTGTGGGGTATGGGATGTTTGGGTTCACACTCAGGATGAGATGGAGAAAGGAAACTCACAATGTGCTCTCTGTATACATGTGGTATTGGATGTACAATGCAGCTTGGTGCTGGGAAGTGGCAGCATGGTTAAAAGCATGATGTAGAGAGAGCTGGTTGGTGAGGATGCTCAGAGGAGGGCAGCTTGTGGGTCGCCATGCTCGCCGGCGGGAGCGAGGACCGCCAGGCAGGCGGACGAGGAGGTGTTGCTGGCTGGTTGGTTTAGGTAGAAAGAGACAGGTCACAACGAGGTCAGGTCTTTTATAGCGAAGGTAGGCGTGGGTAGATAGTTGACCCCCGCTCCGTGGGTGGCGCTTGTTGACCTAGACCACGAGGCATACACTGAGGAATTCGCCGGGTCGGCTACTCAGCGACAAGCAGCGTTTGTAGGGGAAAAATCCACTACAATACTCCCTCCTTCCCTCCAGGCGGTGTAGGAGACTTGTTGTCTGCAGGGTTGCATGGCACATGTGAGGCAGAACGGGCGGTGCATGCCACATGTGAGTCATAACGGCGAGGGCGTGGATGAGCCGGCCGCTAGAGGAGACAACTGTCTAGATACACATTATCTGTGGGAGTAGAGAGGGAGAAAAAGGGTGTGTGGAGGCGATGAATGTTGTGCTTCACTCACGGCAGGCACAGAGTCGTCAGATGCGCCTGCTGGGGTGTGTGGGCCTGGGTCAGGAGCAGGGGCTGCGTCAGCAGAAGCGGATGAGGGCTCGTGACAGCAGCTGGGTCCACGACCGCAGCAGGGTGCAGGACAGTAGCAGGGAGTACCTGAGGGAGAAAAGAGGGGTGTGTTGGTCCGCACTCAGGCGCATGGGCCGCGTCGGGAGCAGGGGCTGCATCAGGAGGAGCAGCAGGGGGTACTGCTGGGCCGGGGGCGGCGTCTGAGGCAGGACGGGTGTGCTGGGGTCAGTAGGACGTGGTCTTTGGGGCAGGAAGAGGAGCTGGTGTCTGCTTAGAGAAGCAGTGCTGCTCTAGGGTGTCTAACCTGCGGTGTAGAGACAGTAGCTGTAGAGCCGATGAGAGCTGCTTCTGGGTGGATAAGCCAGTCTTCCATGTTGCTTGAAGACTGGGAGAGTGATCGGTTTCTCCTCCATCCTGTGTGAGTGCCAATCTCCGGGGGTCACCATTTGTGGGGAACAGGTTGTTTGGGTTCACACTCAGGATGGGATGGAGAAAGGAAACTCACTATGTGCTCTCTGTATACATGTTGTATTGGATGTACAATGCAGCTTGGTGCTGGGAAGTGGCAGCATGGTTACAAGCGTGATGTAGAGAGAGCTGGTTGGTGAGGATGCTCAGAGGAGGGCAGCTTGTGGGTCGCCATGCTCGCCGGCGGGAGCGAGGACTGCCAGGCAGGCGGACGAGGAGGAGGTGTTGCTGGCTGGTTGGTGTAGGTAGAAAGAGACAGGTCACCACGAGGTCAGGTCTTTTATAGCGAAGGTAGGCGTGGGTAGATAGTTGACCCCCGCTCCGTGGGTGGCGCTGGTTGACCTAGACCACGAGGCATACACTGAGGAATTCGCGGGGTCGGCTACTCAGTGACAAACAGCGTTTGTAGGGGAGAAATCCACTACACCACCACCTCCTTCACCGCTGCCTGGCGGCCCTCGCTCCCGCCGGCGAGCATGGCGACCCACAAGCTTGTCCTCTGAGCACCCTCACCAACCAGCTCTCTCTACTAAACGCTTGCTGCTTGAATAAGGTGCTCCGTTGTTTCCCTTTCCCGTGTGATTTATCGATATATATATATATATATATATATATATATATATATATATATATATATATATATATATATTTCATGTAAATCCACGTGATAGTTCTGATACACGGAAATGGAACAACGGAGTACCTAGCTTTCGTCTTTATTCAATACATCTAAGGTACCTGTTGTTTCCATTTTCCTTTATATATATATATATATATATATATATATATATATATATATATATATATATATATATATATATATATATATATATATATATATACATACATACATACATACATACATACATACATACATACATACATACATACATACATATATATTGTAGTGGACGTCTCCCCTACAACTGCGTAGCCGCATGCCACCTGCTACGTCTTCCCAAGCAACCAAACGAGCGGCCCAGGGGGGGGGCGTCACCAGATGCCACAGTATCCTAGCAACGGAGTCAAAAGACCGGCGACTTCCCACAGTTGACTCACGGGTGACTCACGGCTGCTGTGTATATAAGCTCTGTCTCTTCATTGAGATTCATTCTGGCCTCTCTTCTTGAACACGCAACATCTCCTCCTCCGCCGCTGCCTGGCGGCCCTCACTTCTCCTCCGCCTGCCTGGCGGTCCTCGCTCCCGCCGGCGAACATGGCGACCCACCAGCTGTCCTTCTTTGAGCGTCCTCACCAACCAGCTCTCTTATTCTGCTCTCGGTTCCTGAACACGCAACACCTCCTCCAAGCAAGCTCTTCGCTGTCCAGCTCTCATTCAACCAGGAGGCCAGCAACAGGCAACATCTTCTCTAACGAAGCTCCTGCACATCTACCTCCTTCAACACACTACTCAGCTAGGGTGTGTCAATTTTGTCAACATGTTAAAAATCAAATTTGGTAGTCAAAATGTGTCAATTTTGTCAACATGTTAAAAATCAAATTTGGTAGTCAAAATATTGTGCCTCTTTATGTCTAAACTTGAGATTAGCAAACAAAAATGAATTGAAATAACCCTCACCTACATCAATTATACCTTAAAGTTTCAAATATCAGTATTTCAACAAATTAATGAGACTTGATTAGAATTATTCACTTGATATTAACTAATCTCATGTAAGCATATGGATTATGGAGTATTTTATGGTTCTATAGCTTGTGTACAATATGCATGTCAGAACATGAACATGAACAGGCTCTCCGTGTGGGACAGTTTAATTCTTGTTTTGACTTGTACCAAGCGTGAGGATAAGGCGCCCGGCTCACTCTCCTTCTAGATATCATAGACGGTGGTTTGCTCTCATTGCACTTGCACCTACTCTACCAGAGTGCTTTTGATAATAAAACAGAAAAATGCCAAGAAGTGTTTACATCCAAC